TTTTTTTTTTTTTTTTTTTTTTTTTTTTTTTTTTTTTTTTTTTTTTTTTTTTTTTTTTTTTTTTTTTTTTTTTTGGACGTTACAGAAACGAACACATAAGCGATACCTTTTGTTAAGGCAGAGGGTCGAGGTTGGTTGATCGATTACGATATCACCTCGTATATTTTCCACCTACATTACGATTCGAACTTTGAATTTCTTGTTCTTTTCCAGTTTCCAGGAGACAAACCTATAAATCTTGATGATCCATCTCCACATTCCAAGGTTTCCAGTGATATTAGTAAAGGACATAACCTGCCACCACCGCATAAAGTGACCGTGGAAGACAACCAACAAAATCATCACCGACTATCACCTGTTCGAGACCGACACGAAAATGATCATACCGAGACCGACACGAAAATGATCGATTTGAATATGAAGCCTCAAAGGGTCCATGGGCAGGCTGCTAATAATCAGGTGCAAATGCTTTCCTCATCTCTTCCCCCATGACGTTGTATTCGTTTACCGCACTTAAAAAGTGATTCCAAACATACCCGAATCCAACTGGTCGATTTACGTTGATTGGAAACTTATCATGTCTGCTGCTGGTATCCATATTATATTACATTATTTCCCGGAACTCGGTTTCTTTTTCAGGATCTATGATCATGAACTACGAACCATGGCTTTCGATAACACATCGACACAATTGCATTCATCAATCTTCCCCTTGGTTCCGATACACAAAGCAGGACTTGTCACGGCTGCTCGTACTGGAAACCTACATGTTTGGTTCGGTCGGGGGGGCGTAAAGGTTCGGTGTCGAGCTTGTTTAGAATTGTAGAGAAGTGGTTGGATAGATTTGAAAGCAAGATATAAGATAAAAGCAGTGCTTTTTAGTGAAATTGCAGGTGCTGTAATATTACAACTTTAGAGACACAGACCCAGCACACAGCAGGTGTTGTTGGGAGGGCAACTTAAGTTGGTGTAGGTAAACCCCTTCTTTTGGTTCTGGTCGGAAAAAAAAAAAAAAAAAAAAAAA